GGAAGGCTGCGAGTACAGCTCTCCTGTCTCACTGTTCACATGGAGAAGAGTGGAGAACAGACATTCTCCTCATTGATCCCCGCACTCCATCCTGAACTACTTTGCCATGATCTAGGGTCCCCCAGAAGAGGGAGGACCCTGAAAACCACGGCGGGGAGAGAGGCAGCCAGCAGGGAGCGAGGGGGACCTGCAGGCTGCGTACAAGTGATCTCGCATACAAGTGAGCATCGCAGAAATCACTTGTACTACACGAGCAGTGGCTTCCCCGCTGTACATTTAACCCTGCTTGCCCAGAGGGCTAAATGTAGAGGAAAAACTACCCGCTCGGCACCCGGATTTGTCTGTGCCTAGGCTCATGTGCCCACTTAGGGGCCTTTGCGTGCCCTCTGTGGCATGTGTACCATAGGTTCGCCAACTCTAATCTAGGACAACATAGCTGAACTGTAAATTGAGCTGAATTAGAGAATTTTTCCAGTTCAGCTATGTTGTCCTAGATTGTTCACCTCTCCTGCTTTCTCCAAACTCTTACATAGTATTTGAGGTTGAAAAAAGACACGGGTCCATCACCCTTTTGTGAATAGGCCTGTTCGTTTTTTTCTTTCTAAAGCAGCCATATCCTGAGTAGAAAAGCCTGTCCCTTGCCAGCATGTTGCAGAGATAGACTCTTGCTTTATGTTTGGAAACACTAATCTCTCTGCAGTGGTCTGACACACTCCCTATTGAATCAAACCTGTAGTGCTGCAATCAGATAAGCTCATGCTAGCCACTGACACAAGGAGCTGTGTTGGACCTCTTCTTTTTTTACAAAAAACTGTAAGACATTAAACACCTTCTGTTTTCATGTACCTGGAATGTTGTATTTATCTGATTAAACTGAAAGTTCATTTGGGCTTTGAAGAGGAACTTTTCTGCTTGCAGGGTGGATGGGCTCGTGCACATTATGGCACACTTATCCTCTAGTGTCTCCTGAATGCAGACATTTACAATGCTGGGTACTCTTTGCACACCCCACATCAAATTAGTTCTTAGACAATAACTTTTGCCATCTTAAGAGCTGGTTCTGGAGCCTGTCTTTCCAATCCAGCATACTGGAATGTTCTGCACGTTATGGAACACTTATTCTCTAGTGTGCTATGCTCCATAGCCCCCTTGTTGTTCTGTCAACAGCCGCTGACATCTTCTGCCATTCCTCTCCTGGGTCCATGACCCCTGTGACCACCATTGGAGTGCAACAGAGTTACATCCCATTCACTACCATGACCATGTTTTGATCTTCAGTGAACCGTGGACCTTTAATTTTTTTGTGGCTCCATGCTTGAAATGAATATCAGAGCTACATTAGCCACTTGACAGAGCAGTTAGAATTTTTAGACCCACACACACGAGGGCCAATTTAGATAAAAGCCAATTAACCTAATAGAATGTCTTTGGAATGTGGGAGTAAACCAGAGTACATGGAAGAAATTCAAGCAAGCACAGGGAGAGAGCATGCAAACACCAAGTATGTATTTCCTTTGCTCCTCAGCTCCATCTAGTGGCCATAATGCGCTACTACATTAAATGTCATTCAACTTGAACAGAAAATATGTATTCGCATCACTTTATAATAAAATGAGAACATTATTGTTACTCTTAGTCTATATCCCAGGCTGAAGAGAAATCCGGACATTGAGGTCAACCATCGATGCCCTGTAGCATCCGGCTTGCAGTTGAGAGGATGTATGTGAGTCTGTCTTCACTTCTTTGTCTGCTCCATATAAGTAGTCTTTTAGCTTGTCTACAAATGCCCACTTTTGAGCCAGGAACTGTAACTTGTGCATGAGGTTATTCTTCTCAGCCGAGGTGAGACTCTGGTTCACATAGGTGACAGGTCTCAAATGGCTATCATTATCTTGATACAAACCCTTCCAAGTCCCTGTCTGCTGGCGTGCACATGCAATTCATAGAGCCAAACAGGGTCAGCATAGGCCAGAACCGAGGGGTGAGTCAGGTTCCACTTTAGATTTTGGAAAGCCTGCTCACATCGGTCTCTTGTATTTACTCTCGAGGCTCTCTAGGTTCTTTGGCTTGGCAGGCTTGGTCTGGTATCTTCGAGTCATAGTCCTCTCTATCAGTTGTAAGTTGTTCATTGAGGGGCCAGGCTAACTTTGCAAACCCTTCTAAAATACATTCTGTAATAGGAGCAGAACTCTAGTAATGGTTTCAGCTCTGTGAAATTTTTAGGTATTGGCCACAGGGTAAAAGCCCCTAACTTATTATGGTTGGAGGCACTCCAGTGGAAACATGTCTCAGATAAGTGACAGAAGCTGGGAGAACTTCAGCCCCTCTTGTTGATGTCGTGTCAACTAGAGCTGCAGCTAACGATTATTTTCAAAATCGATTAGTTAGCCGATTATTAGGTTCGATTAATCGGTTAATCGGATAAACAATAAAATAAAGTTTAAAAATGGCTCCAGTGATGGGACTACTAGTTTTTGTGGAGCGTGGATGCGAGCGGGTCTGGCAGCGGCGAGCGTGAAGTGGGGAGGAGGTGCGGCGCACAGCGTGTGGAGCTGTGAACAGGGCCAACTGATCGGAAGCCGATTAATCGATTATTGAAAAAGTTGACAACTTTTTCAATAATCGATTATAATCGATTATGTCGATTAGTTGTTGCAGCCCTAGTGTCAACACTGTTTCAAGTCATTGCTCATGCTCTTTTAGTGTTTTCCCAAAGACAATTACATAATTCAGATACA